GAAACAATATGGAGATACCTTAAAGCGATACAGTGAATTACCATTTGATCCAGCAATCCCATTGCTGGGCATCTACCCAAAAGATCAATGACACTCTACAAAAAAGACACCTGCACTCGAATGTTTATAGCAGCACAATCATAATTGCAAGGCTGTGGAACAGCCCAAGTGCCCATCAATCCAAGAATGGATTCATAAAATGTGGTATATGTATACCATGGAGTACTATTCAGCTCTAAGAAACAATGGTGCATAGAACATCTTATATTTTCCTGGTTAGAGCTGGAACCCATACTATTAAGTGAAGTTCCCAAGAATGGAAAAACAAGCACCACATATACTCACCAGCAAATTGGTATTAACTGAACAGCACCTAAGTGGTCACATAGGTAGCTACAGAATAGGGTAGTGGGCATGTGCACCATCTGAGGGATGGTCATGCTGGAAAATCAGACTTCTGGGGGGAGGGGGGAAAGGGCATTTATGGAAACCTTAAAATCTGTACTCCCATAATATGCCGAAATAAAAAAAAAAAAGAAATTTAACTTTATCAGAATTATGTACCCTGTATTTACCCTGAGAATTAAAAAGTATTAATACTGCTTTTCTAAAAACAAACCAGTTCACATCCAGTATTTTCAAAGAACATTTATTATCATACTAGTATGTATCTAGCATCACCATCTACTTTTGCTGAGTGCTTTCTCTATGCCAAGTCCTTTATATACAACTTCTCATTAAATGTTCAAAACTGTTCTACATGGTGTACATGGTACTAACCTGCTTTTAGAAATGTGGAAACTGAGGCTCAGAACACTGAGTAACTTGCCCAAAGTTCTATGTGATAGGTATATAGTAAATTTATATTAAATTATTTATAATTAAACACTTAAAAAAACCAAACTCAGCATTCAGTATGCTCTGTGTACAAATAATTGCTCATATATATCACCCTAAGTCCATGCTTACTTTATACACTAATGTGAAAATTACTTTAAATGGAGTGACAATTACACTGACATTTTAAACAACTATTTGTAGGTTTCTGAATTATGTCACTTTTAGGAAAGTTTAAAACATCAGGCAAAGCTGTTCTTTTTTCATACTTTCTATCTCCCTGATTTTAATAATTTTGGGTTTCTAATTTATGTCGTACAGTAATTGCATTTAATGCCAAACATCTAGTAATCATACTCTTGGACTTTCTATTTCAGGCAGAAAATGTGACTGTGACAAAGGATTTTAGAAGAGTGGAAAATGCTTATCATATGGAAGCAGAGGTATAGACTTAAATAATTGGAACTAGCATGACTCTTTGGGGATAATTTGTTGTTTATTTTTATTCTTGAACTGAAATGAACAGGTGAAATGCTTCTCTTGATATCGATAAAGGATTATTTTTCTAAAAATCATTTTGATTTTATATATCTGTGTGAGCTTTTAAAATTAATGAGATTAATTTAAGAGAAATTGTTTAAATTGAATAAAAATAGCAAGTGGGAAATAGTTGCCACCTGAAAAAAATTTAGTAATACCACCTAGTAAACAGGAAACACTAGAGGAGAGAAATTTCTTTTCAGATAAAAAGCAAATGAATAAAATCATAACATGAAAGATTGAAACATTTTTCAACATTCTTTGATAGTGTAATTTTACTGTGTTGTGGTAAGTATTATTTAATGAAAGCCACTCAACCTTTACACAAATTAAAAAGAACAAAACCATTTTCAGTATACCCAATTAATAACATTTAGTTCTTATAACTGCCCATACTTTTATTTATCTTTAAAGATTTGATGATCGGGATTTTATGAAATTAAAGTATGTACTAGTTGTGGTTGTGTATGTGCTTAGTCCATTCTTCCCTCTTGTCCCAGGAAACAAGGAAGAGTGTGTTATAGTTGAAATCTTGTTTATTGAATGAGAGAATCTTTGTCTTTAGAGGTAGAAAATACCTCCAGAAATCACCTGGTCCTGTCTACAAGCATATAATATATTATTTTTCTGGTTTTAAGGGAGTGACATTAGGTTCAAATAACACAAGCCCAGAATTCTCAAATGTCATATAGCAAGAATTAGAATGAAAATTAGAACCCTAGATTCTTATCTCTTGAAATAGTAATTTCCACAATGTTTGTTTGTTGCCCTGGTGTATACTTGCATCATTTTGTTATTTTTCAACTTAAAATTAAACTATCTCAAGGATTTTTTTTAATTACTCATAATTTTAGAGACCATTTGGCAAAAGTTACTTTGTAGTACTGAGGACTGAAAAATACCTTTCAAAACAAGATGAAGTGCAATCTTGTAATATTCCAAATTATAGAGGTTAAAAGCTGGGAGTATGTTATAGCACTCCTCCAGTAGTTATTACCTATTAGGACTTCAGATTGTAATGAACATAAATAAGAGTAGATCATCTTAGTTAAGGAGGTTTATTGTGAGGGTACACAAGGGAGTAATGAGGAAAAGGAAACAGCCCCAGCAATGACATAGCCAAGCGTCATGGAAAACTAATGTTACTCAGATCATTGAGTTGTTCTAGGGACTTACCTTCCAGGTGCAAAAGAGAGCATTAGAGCTGCTTGTTTTAAAACATGACTAAATGAGGATTTGGCTAAACTCTGTTCCTGTTTCTTCTGCTTTACTTACCTTTTTAATGTTTTATATTAAAATTTCTTAAAAGAGGATCTGATTATATTTCATATAGGGCTCCATGGGCCAGAACTCCTATCATATCACACAGTCCAATACATGATTATTTTAAGGTCAACACCAATAGTCAGTGCAGACCATTGTGTTGGGATCACAAGATACAAAATGTGCCAACTTATGCATAAAGAACAGTGTGTGGCTTCATGGCTAAGGATGGAGCAAACACTAAAATCTAACATATACCAGTATTCTCAAGGACTGTTAAGTGTATGGAATAAGATGGTAAATAGACTCATACAACTCAATAGGAAAAAAGTGAATAGCCTGGTTTAAAAATGGGCAAAGGACTTGAATAGACATTTATTAAAAGAAGACTTACAAATGGCCAACAGGTATATGAAAAAGTGCTCAGCATCACTAATTATCACAGAAATAGAAACGAAAACCACAGTGAGTTACAACCTCACACCTTGTTAGGATGCCTCTATCAAAAAAGCAAAAGACAGTAAGTGTTAGGATATGGAGAAATTAGAACCCTTGTACACTGTTGGTGGGAATATAAGATGGTGTAACCATTAAAGAAAACAGTACAGAAGTTCCTCAAAAAATTAAAAATAGAACTACTGTATGATTCCACAATTCCATTTCTGGGTATATATCCAAAAGAATTGACATCAGGATCTGGAAGAAATATCTGTACTCCCATGTTCACTGCAGCAGTATTCACAATAGCCAAGATATGGAAACAACCCAAATGTCCATTGACAGATGAATGGATAAAGAAAATGCATTATATATCATTTCATGTATCTGCCACATTTCATTTAAAGACTGAACGAAATGTTATTCAGTCTTTAAAAAGAAGAAAATCCTACCATTTGCAACAATATGAATACACCTCGAAGACATTACATTAAGTGAAATAAGTCAATCATAGAAGGATAAATACTGCATCATTCCACTTAAATGTCATATCTAAAATAATCAAACTTATAGAAGCATAAAATAGAATGGTGATTGACAAGGAATAGAGGTAGGGGAAGTGGGGATCTCTTATTCTGTGGGTATAAAGTTACAGTTATCGAGATGAATAAGTTTTAGATACCTGCTGTACAACATAGTATCTATGTTAGCACAATGTTGTACACTGAAAAATTTGTTCACAGGGTAGGTCTCATGTTAAGTGTGCTTAGGGTTAGTTGAACTTTCTGTATCTGTGGGTTTATAATTCTCATCATGTTTGGAAACTTTTTGGTCATTATTTCTCCACATATTTTTCTTGTCCCCTACTCTCCTCTCCATTTGGGACTCCAATTATATGTGTATTAGGCTACTTAAAATTGTTTCACACCTCACTGATTCATTTGTATGTCATTTTTAGTGTTTTATTTCGAATAGTTCTTATTGCTATGTTTTCAGGTTTACTAAGTTTGTCTTGTGTAATGTCTAATTTCCTGTTAATTCTATTCAGTGCATTTTTTTTATCTTATACATTGTAGTTTTCATCTCTAGAAGTTCTGTTGAGTCTTTTTATATTAATATCTTCCATGTGTCTACTTAACTTTTGAGCATATGAATTACAGTTATAATAACTTTAAATGACCTTGTCTTTTAATTCTGACATTTGTGTCAGTTTTTAGTTAGCTTGAAATACAAAAAAATATGCCAACGCACACTATTATCACATTGCTGAAAACCAGTAATAAATCTTAAAACAGCCAGAGAAAAAAGACATGTTATGTACAAAGGAACAAAAACAAGACAACAGATTTCTTGTTGAAAATAATGCAAACAGGGAGACAGAGGAGCAACATCTTTAAAGTACTGAAAGGGGAAAAAAACCCCTATAAACTTAGAATTCTATATCTAACAAAAACAGTGTTCAAAAACAAAGGCCAGTTAAAGCCTTTTTCAGTAAACTGAAAGATTCATTACTTGTAGACCTGCACTATGAGAAATTTAAGTGACATCATTTAGGCAGAAGGAAATGATACCAGAAAGAAATACAGATTTACACAAAGGAATAAAGAGTACTGAAAATGGTAACTACATAGGTTAATATATGATGTTTTTCTCGTATAAATCTCTTTAAAACTTTCTGTATTTATATAAAAAAATTATTTAAACAAAGTGATAATGGTGAACTATAGGGATTATAACATGTATGAAAATATGTAACAACAATTGCACAAGGGTTAGGAATGGAAATATAGAAGTACAATGTTGTAAAGTTCTTATGAGAAATAGTATATCTTTTTAAGGTAGATTGTGGTAAGTTAAACATGTATCCTATAATAAAGCAAATACTATGATAACAGCAAAAAGTTATAGCTAATAGGCCAATGAAGGATATGCAATAGAATATGAAAATATAATACAAAAGAAGACATAAAATGAGAAAAGTGGGAACAAAATTTTAGCAAATCAAATCCAATGATTTGATAAATCATTGGATATAGTTTGTTCCTTTTATGATGAGTAGTATTCTGCTATGTGGATGTAACCACAGTTTGAAAAACATTTGGTTGCTTCCAGTCTGGGCTATTATGAATAAGATGTTGCTTTTTCAAAGTAGTTCTAGACCTCTGTATTTCCAAATGCATTTTATAATCAGTTTGTGAATTTCTATTTAAAAAGCTGGCTGGAATTTTGATTAGATATAATGAATCTATATATAAATCAGTCATCAAATTTATATCCTATGTTTATATAGGATAATACATAATGACCATATATAGTTTATTCCAAGAATGAAAGGCTGGTTTAACATTTGAAAATTGGTCAGTGTAATTTACCATGTTAATAAACTAAAAAAGAAAAACCACATGAGCATCTCAGTAGACACAGAAAAAAAGCATTTAACAAAATCTATCAACCATTCCTAATAAAAATCTCAGTAAAATGGGAATAGTAGGAACTTTCTCAACTGATAAGGGCATCTATGAAAAACTATAGCTGAAATCTACTTAATGGTGAAACTCTGGATGCTTGTGCCTAATATCGGTACAAGAAAAGATGTCTTCTCTCATGGCTTCTATTCAGCATTGTACTTGAAGTTCAGCCAGTGCAGTCAAGCAAGAAAAAGATAAAAAGTCATCCAGATGAAACAGAAGAACTAAAACTGTCAGTATCGTGAACAACATGAGCTCTATGTAAATATGATAGAACCTATCAAAAAAGCCATTACAACTAATGAACATCAAAATTTAAATACCTGGAGATAAATCTCATAAGTCTGATCTGTATGCTGAAAACTACAAAACATTGCTGAGAGAAAAGACCTCAATAAATGGAGTGTATTATATCTTTCGTGGTTTGGAAGACTCATACAATGAAGATATCAGTTATCCCTAAATTGTTTATATATAGATTCATTATATCCTAATCAAAATTCCAGCCAGCTTTTTTAAATAGAATTCACAAACTGATTATAAAATGCATTTGGAATAACGAGGATCTAGAACTACTTTGGAAAAAGCAACATATTTATTCATAATAGCCCAGACTGGAAGCAACCCAAATGTTTTCAAACTGTGGTTACATCCACATAGCCAGTACTACTCATCATAAAAGGAACAAACTATTATGCAACAACATGGTTGATTGCAGATGGATCAGTAAGTAA